GTGTAAAGAGGAGTCTCTATCTTTCATTATTCAGCACTCAGGAAGTATCAAACTGTCTAATTAAGGCAAGTAACAGCTGTGTTTTTAAAAATCTAATTGGATATTTAAACTGGCAATTTTCTTCCTGGGTGCAAATCTTAAGAATTCCTAAAGAGAACATGTATCATTTTAAGAGGAAAAAAAGATTGCTGAGGAACATGTAATGCTTACTTAAAAAAACAACCTTGAAATATCAGCTTTCTTTCTTTCTTACTTTTTCTTCTTTCTTTTTTACTTTGTTAATCATTTTTAGAAATATGCTTATTACAATGACAGAATAATATCCCTAGATTCTACTAGAGTTCTATGCCCAATTCCATAATTTTATTTTATATAGGACTATTTTTTAAAAACGAATAATAATAATAATGCTGAAACTGAGTTCTTTTGTTACCTGTGCTTACTTCTCTACCTAACCACTACCATTCAATACACCCCCTACCAACAATGGATCAGATTTTTAAAGTTATCATGAAAGAATTCACACATCTTTTCAATTGGGTTCTGACATTCCTTTCTGCCTTTCATTTAAGTTAAACCATGAAAGCCCATGAAAGTATTCTTCAATTTTGAGAAGAGATAGAAGTCTGCATTAGACTGTGTATGGGATAAGACAAAGATCCAGCTTGTCTTTTCCCTAGCTTGAGATATGAGTCATCAATGTCGTGATATTAAAGTAAAATTTCATTTTTGCAGTTTCAAATTTTATCTAATTATTGTTTCAAAGTTTGGAGTGCTGCAACTAATGCCAGTTTTAAGAAAGTCCATGTAAATAACACAACCATGTCCCCAAAAACTGTAATCATGAGTTTTCCTTTTTGATTCCCTCACTCCCAATTTTTGAAGCTCTGGAATATACCATGGATTGACTCTTCATTTCTGGGTCATAATAATGACCCCACGTTTGGCTTTTACCATGCTGTGAAGAAATTCCTCACCCTCATTCTCATAGCATGGCAACAACTGCTGGAAAATGACCACTGTTTCACCTTTGCCCTCGGCATGCAATGAACCCATCTTACATAAATCTGATTCTGAAGAATATCAAAAATGTAACATGTTTTTTTTTTTTGAAATGCCACATTTGGCAGCAATTTTCCTTTGAGTGATCTATCATTTGCCCTTAAGGAATCCTTATTTCCTATTCCTCACATGAAGTTCATTGATTGCTGTCACAGTTCACTCTCTTCATTCTTGTTCACTCAAATCAGTTCTTTCCAGTTCACTTCTTTATATTTTTTGGCCCAGTGATGCATAGTACTCACATCAATACTGTTATCACCATAAATTGCATTTGATAGGGAATTTCTAATGGAGGTAATCCCTCAGCAGTCAAAAAATGAATGTTGATGAGTTGCTTAAAACATGTTTACATGTACACAGTGCAGGCTTTCATTTCACAAAGAATAGCAACACCATCTTTTTTTTCACTGCAACTTCCCCAAGGAAGTGAAAGAACAAGTAAGGAACACATATCAGAAGTTCTAGTCCTTCAGTACTGCCATCTGTTTTTGCCCTGAAACTGAAGGCATTACTTTTCATTTAATCTTTGTACAGGTGCTTTAATGCTTTAGTGATTTAAAGCTATGCCAAGGAACTCACCTGTCTCTTTCCTATCATAAACTCAATTGGCAGATGTTGCAGAAATTACTGAAGAAATACAAGACTATAAAATATCAAGTACCGTATATGCCGGTGTATTAGGTGACCCGGCGTATAAGACGACCTCCATCTTTATTGCCGAGTCACCTTCCTAGAATGTCGTCTTATATGTTGGAAACTACCAGTATTTCCGGCGTATAAGACGACTCGGCGTATAAGATGACCTCCGTCTTTGGCACCGAGTTTAGCGCTTCCGAAAGTCGTCTTATACGCCGGCATATACGGTAATAATATCTGGGCAACTAATTATGTACTCATTAAAAAATTCTAATAGATTGTAGTGGAATATATGGGTGACCTTGGAGAAAGAGGAGACGTTGCCTAGGAAAAATCAAACAAGAGAGGCAAGGGGACCACAGAGGGTTTAATGGTTATAGAAAGAAATTTGCAAAGGATCCCTCTCTATGAGTCAAGCAGTTAAAATTGGCAAAGGAAAATTTAAATCTTCAGATTTGCAAGATTCTGTTAATGTAGCCTTAAATAAAGTAGAATTAGTTCATCCTCTTTACTGTGTTGTTACCTTGAGAGGTTTTGGAAATATTCAATTCACTGCATACAAATATTCAGTTTACTGCATAAAAATATCATACATGCTTAATAATTTAAAAGATATACAGGCAGAGATTGATAGCAATTGAAATTAGTTTTATTGTTGTTCCTAAAAGTACTTGACCATGTATTTTTTTTAATGTACTTGCATGATTCTTGAAGACTACAGTCTTAAAGCACAGCTATGAGTAGATTGTATATACTAACAAGAATTATTTGTAAATTGTCTGTATAGGAATCTGTAGTAAAATTCTTTATTCCTATATTTACCTACATTATGCAAATAATGTTTGTAGTTAGTCGCGAAGTCGTGTCTGACCCATCACGACCCCATGGACGTTCCTACAGGCCTTCCTGTCCTCTACCATCTTCTGGCATCCCTTTAAGCTCATGCCTACTGCTTCAGTGACTGCATCCAGCCACCTCATTCTCTGTCGTCCCCTTCTTCTATTGCCCTCGATCTTTCCCAGCAATAGGCTCTTCTCCAGTGAGTCCTTCCTTCTCAGTGGTTCTGTGTCCAGTTCTCACTGTTGCTTCTTGACCCGCATATAGGTTTCTCAAGAGACAAATAAAATGGCCTGGTACTCCCATCTCTTTAAGAACTTGCCACAATTTGTTGTAATCCACACAATCAAAGGCTTTAGCATAGTCCAGTGATGGCGAACCTTTTAGAGACCGAGTGCCCAAACTGCAACCCAAAACCCACTTATGTATCGTTGGGTGCCAGGTGGGTGTGGCCATCTGAGTGGGCGTGGCCCATTAGGTGGGCATGGCCACAGTGGTAATGGCAGACTGGGTGGGACTAAAAAGTTCAATCAATTCCAACTTTGCAAGATCTTTTTTTTCCCACAAGAACTTGAAATTGATTGATTGACCCTTTTTTTTTCCCACACAGCGGCGGAGGCCTAAAGCAAAAAGGTTTTATAAAACCCAGCTGAATGCCTAGGACTCAGGCGACAGCACGCACGCCCACAGAGAGGGCTCTGCGTGCCACCTGTGGCACATGTGCCATAGGTTCGCCGCCACGGGCATAGTCAATGAAGCAGAAGTAGATTTTTTTTGGAATTCCCTAGCTTTCTCCATGATCCAGCATATGTTGGCAATTTGATCTCTAGTTTCTCTGCCTCTTCGAAATCCTGCCTGCACTTCTGGAAGTTCTCAATCCACATAGTGCTGGAGTCAAGCTTGTAGGATTTTAAACATAACTTTACTTGCATGTGAAATGAGTGCAATGGTGTGATAGTTTTTTTCTCCTTTTTAATTCTAAGCAAATTTAATTACACCCTTATATAACTAGCCCCAATTTGCATTTCAAAAATACACTTTGGTGAAGTCATGGCTTTTTAAGAAGAAAGTACTTCCCCATTATTTTCAATGAGAATTATGCCATCAAATCTTCAGAAAAATAAGAACTTGCTTTCACAAAAAATATATATTGCTTTTGAAGTGCAATCGATCAAAAAGTAAAGTTAGATATTATTTAAAGGGCAGATATTTTTAAAAATTACAGTATTATCTTTCTACAACAACCCCCAATAATTGTGATTTTTAAATCTTCACACGTAACTGTTCCTGGTTATTTATCTAATAATATAGTATCATATAGTATCATTAATGCTGATAATAATTTACTAAATATGCTACTATTAATGATTTTACAAATAGAGAATATTTTATTTCAAACCAACAAAAACTTAATACATCTTGTGGCATAATGTTTTGGGATCTATCTACAGAATGCTATTTCAGCTATGAATGCAGAATATTCTGATTTTTTCAGTGTTTTTATTACTTGTTTGATATTTTGGATATGATTTTCATAATAGAAAAAAAATGGATAAAAAAATAAAAGACACAAAAATGTGTTACATATCAATGAAATTTAGTAATGAGTATAATTTTAACTGTAAATTCAGTATTAACCAATCATTTAATGAACTATTATGAGCAGTTTCAAAGTTCACCTTGACATTTAAATTATTTTAAAATGTATGTCTGTACCCTATGACTATTTTAAATCACAATAATTGATTTGGAATGAAGTATGTAATTACAGTAACCCAATGTATTTGGTGGGCCTTTTTTCTTCAGGGAATAAAATTGAACGGTTATCCCTTTGCCATATTTTATTTCATTCTTCCAATTCTGGTACCTTCCTACCTTCTGGAGTTCAGGTTTCATCCAGCAAGGCCAATATTCTATTTTGTATTGTTTTTTTTTAAATTCAAGCCATTTATAGAGAGGAAACACCCAATACAATATTTTTAATTACACAGACATGAAATGATGGTACTAAAGTGCACTGTCCAGTAAAAGATTACAGAACAGCCATCTGCATGCAATTCGCATTAACGCAACCAATAAGGGAAACTGGTTTGCTGAATACGGGCAGAGAAGTTAACAATACCATGTTTCTCCAAAAATAAGACGTCTTTTTTTTTTCCTCCAAAAGAGGCACTAGGTCTTATTTTCAGGGTAGGCCTTACCTCACCTCCAGCACTGACAGCCCCACCCAGACGATCCACTTCTTCTGGGGCCGAAGTTCTGCAGCACCATTCAGGCCTGCATTTTGCAGTCAGGCCTTTGCAGAAGGCCTAAGCAGCCGAATACCGAGCTATGGATTCAATCAATAGCTTGGTGCTCAGCTGCTAAGGTCTTGCAGAACTGAGCTATAGATTGAATCCATAGCTCAGTTCTTGGCTGCACAAGCCTTCTAGAAAGCCCTGTGACTGAGAAAAGCTGGCCTGGCTGCAGAAGAGGCCTCAGAAGAAGTGGGCCGGCAAGGAGAGGCCTGGCTGCAAGGTAAGTGGGTGTGGGACTGGTGGGGCATCTCCACACCCCCACCATAGCTTGATTTTTAGATGTGTGTCTCGCCCCAAAATTGGGGCTTAGTTTTGAGATATGGCTTATATTAGGCCCCCCCCCCAAAATCAAACTAGGGCTTAGTGTTGGTGTAGGCCTTACTTTCGGGGAAACACAGTAAGTATAATTCATTGCCTCTCTAAGGCTTTAAGAAGGCAGGCTGATATAGAAAGATAAAGTAACAAAGCTATCATTATCATCATCATCATGATAAATTTTTCTTATATGTAAACATTGACCTTTGTCCAACCATGTCAAGAATTCTCATTACCATTCCAGACAATACCTGTCCAACCTTTGCTTGAAAACCTCCAGTGCTAGAGCACTAACAATCATGAAAATCATCTTTACCAAACTTACACCCAAAGGTTCTTCTCCTATCTTCACTTTTTTTCTGTGACAGCTTTTCAGTTATTGGAAGACTAATATCATCTGTCCATTAGACTTTTCTTCTTTACACTAAACATAGTAGTTTGTTTAACCATTCTCCATAGGATTTAACTGTCAAGCCCCTGCGGGCTTGCCACTAACTGAAAGGGGGGAGGGGTCACGGGTGCAACCAGAACGACAGCGGCGGCTAGAGCAAGCTGATAAGAAACGGGCTCCCCACAAGCCATTCCGGGTGGAGGATACAGTGTATCTATCCATTAAATACTTACACCTGAAAATGCCCTGCAAGAAATTAAGCCCAAAGTTTATAGGACCATTCCTGATAGTACGGGTAATTAACCTGGTTACTGTGGAACTGAAACTGCCCCATCTCTTGGGGAGGGTGCACCCAGTGTTCCATAGTAGTTTGCTAAAGCCAGTGGAAGGGTTCTCCTTGCGGCCCATTACAGGTTACCGGGTCTTGTCATAGGGGATCAATACGAGATTGATGAGGTGTTAAATTCTCGACTCTACCAGGGTCGATTGCAATATTTGGTATGCTGGAAGGGATACCCTGCCCCAGACGCATCGTGGGTGGCGGAAAAAAGACATAAAAGCCCCTCATTTGCTTAGACTGTTCCACCGAAAGCATCCTCATAAACTGGGGGGAGTGGGCCGAGGAACCCACCGTAGCCAAGTACTAATCAACGTCTCTCCTTGCCTTCCAGGTGGAGCCCTGATAGGGGGAACTGCCTGTCAAGCCCCTGCTAGCTTGCCACTAACGTCATCCTGATTTACACAACCAACATGGCAGAACACACTCAATTGGTCCGGCAGATATTAGACAAACTACTGAAGGCGCACTTATACGTGAAACTTTCTAAGTGTGAGTTTCACCAAACCCGAGTGGACTATCTGGGGTACTGTATATTGGGTGCAGGCATGGAAATAGACCCTGCCAAAGTCAGGGCCGTACAGGAGTGGCAGGTACCACGGATCCGCCATCATCTGCAAAGCTTTTTGGGGTTTGCAAATTTCTATACACAGTTTATCCCCTCATTCGCAAGAGTGACCCTCTCCACCAGGGTCAACTGCAATACTTGGTATGCTGGAAGGGGTACCCTGTCACAAACGATTGTGAATGGGGGAAAAAGACATAAAAGCCCCTCATTTGCTTGGACTGTTCCACTGAAGACATCCTCATAAACCGGGGGGGGGGTGGACTGAGGAACCCGCTATAGCCAAGTACTAATCACATGTCTCTCCTTGCCTTCCAGGTGGAGCCCTGATGGGGAAGCTGCCTGTCAAGCCCCTGCGGGCTTGCCACTAACCGGGAGGGAAAAGGGGTCACGGCTGCAACCGGAGCGGCGGTGGCTGGAGGCAGCAGCAGCGACAGCCCTCCCCCTTGTACCTGAATGATGGCCAGGGGCCGTTTGGAGTATAGCTGGGAGGCCATTGTGATCGGATGGCTGGGAGCCAGCTGCTGCCAGGTCATCATGCCGGAGGATGGCTGCCAGTCAAACTTCCAGCTTTGCCAGCTCAGCTGTTCAGCAGTCCGCTGGATGGCTGATCGGCGCAGATAAACAGGGAATTTGAAACCAGCCCTCGCTTGCCCTGCTGCCACGGACCAAAGCCTATGCCAGGCTGATTGCTGAGAGCTGTGAACTGGGTTGTTGTTCCAGATGCTGGTTATGTGGGTGGGGGGAGGCCCGGGCGGGATACGTCTATTTAGCGTGCTAGGAGGCAGTTGCTTCCAGCACTGACTTTGTTTGCATTTGTTTTGAGCTCGCAAGCCAGAGTGTACCTAAATAAACCAGGTTTCCTTTGAACCCAACATCCTGTTTTCTGTTGGGCTCATGTCTGTGGTTGGGACCTTTGACATTAACCTTCAAGACCTTTACTATCTCTCTCCCTCATCCATGTATTTCTTTTTTTAAAAAAAATCACCTCTAGAACAACAGAAATAGGTGAGATAAGATGGGCTTAATAGTTACCCAAATGAAATTCCATGTCTAAAAGTGAAGTAGAATCTAGGTCACCACTGTCCTTAACCACTATACTACACAACAGATTTTCATTTGATACACTTTGTATCTTGTGTTATTCAATTCATGCCTCTCAAAATGTATAATTGATTTTCCAACAAACTTTTGAAATTTTGTGTAAGAGTATTCTTCACTTTTATAAATGGGTTTGTGATATTCAATATGCATAGTTTTAAAGTCAAAATGAAAAACATGCATAAATACGCCCAATGATAAAAACAATACCAAAGCATTTGTACAAAGACTTCTTAAATCTACTGCCAAATAGCTTGTAGAAGATTATGAGTATTTTTTAATTACTGTATTTATTTATTACTTGTTTTGAACCACCAGTAGCCAAGGCACACTAAAAGATATGATATGAATAAAAATATTTATAACGACATGTAATAAAATGCAAAATGAAAACACCACACAGACTAGGCAGCAGCAAGGCAACGTTCAACATCTTTAAAAATCAGAATTGTTGTTGTGTTGTTCGTCCATCAATTTCGATGAAGACCTTGACATCTTGTGGGTTATGGGCCATTAACGATGTGTCCGTAGGTGGCTAATAAGACCGATGTTAGCACGGAATGTTCTGCCACATACTGTTAATTCAGCATTTGCAGCTCTGGCTTTGCGGAGTGCTCGCTTTTCTTGTGCCAAGATCGTCCTTCTGTGTTCATACGTCTGGCAACCCTGGTACACCAAGGTGCGCCATGTTGGTCGATCATGTGCCAGAAGTTCCCAAGAGATGGTGTTAATATCCAGGGATTTAAGAGAAGCTTTTAATGTGTCTTTGTATCGCTTCTTTTGTCCCCCGTGTGATCGCTTTCCTTGAGACAGCTCACCATAGAAGAGCTGTTTAGGGATGCGATGATCTGGCATCCTTACAACATGGCCCGCCCAGCGCATCTGGGCTTTCATCAACAGAGTGTAAACTGATGATAGACCTGCTCTGGAGAGGACATCTGTGTCTGGTATCTTATCCTGCCACCAGATCCTCAGAATTCTACGAAGGCAAGTCATGTGGAAGTAGTTCAGTTGCCTAACATGCCTCCTGTACACTGTCCAGGTCTCACTAGCATACAATAGGGTAGTTAGCACTGCTGCCTGGTAAACTTTAAGCTTGGTAGCAAGACTTATTCCACAGTGGTATAGAAAAGCCTTTTACCTGGGGCCAAAATAAAGCTAATGTAGGCACTGATTCAGTCTTTCTGTAGAGGAAATTCACCTCACTTTCTTGGTTGGTATGTCCTGACCTAGATAGTGATAAGCTCTGGATAAGTTCTTGTGGGAGAAAGTTAACTCTATGCAAGGCACTAATATTGGAAACTATTAGACCAGATGGAATAAATTCATCATGAGGTTAAGAACAAGAAAGGTTTAGTGCAGATTGCTTCTTAATGGATCACCAACTCATTATTTTATACCTAGTCAAAAATATTTGTAGGGCTAAAATTTTCTTTATACACAACTTTTGCAAATACCTTCAATACTATTTCTAGAGGCAAACTCTGGGACAAACTCAAAGATGTTGACAACAAATAACTGTACAACTCACCAATAAGCTGTAATACTAATATTTATTTGAGAGCCAGATATATAAATTGAATGATCCATTCTCATATAGTACTAGTGCAAAAAGGTGTTATATATAGATCCATTTTGTTTTTTAACTTTTGTATTAACACCCTAGTTAAGATCTTAATTTAGTTTACATCACCCATTTAAACTGGTAGAACAAAAATTCCCAATATTGTTGCATGCTGATGATTCAGTGCTACTGTCACAAACTCTACTTGTCTTTTAGTCTCTATTTAAGTATTATAGCAAGGAACATCTTCAAATTAACTACCAAAAGACTAAAATAATGATATTTATTACAAGACCCAAGCCACATCACCAAGTTATAAAGAGAAAAAGACAGCACAGAATACATGTTTAAAATACTTCTGAGTGGTACTTTACTCTTCCTGAAGTATGAATAAAGTGTGCAATATTGATAAATCAAGGAATATAGCGACTATTTTGGAATTATGTGTCCCAAGTGCAGCCATATGTGTCCCAAGTTTGGAATACAGAAGGTTGAAAGCAGAGTTTTGATAGAAATTGACTACCGGCTAAAAAGAAAATTCCTTCTGCTTGGCTTTATCTTACATGTTTCTTAATAAATTCCTAGGTGAAGCAGGCTGTAATTTTTAAACTATGCTTCTTTGGACTTTCACTCTTAATTTTTACTGTTCCTAGGCTATGGACAAGCAATAATGACTTCAAGAAAATGTATCAATGATGTAGATCTTTAAATAGAATTTAGTTTCCAAACTTGCAGAAATTGAGTGTTGCATCCACCCCAGAGGAAAACCTGGCAGCTATTTCTTCATTTACTTTCCCTAAATATAGAAGTAATTAATACTTGGAGAACGTTAACAATAGACGTATGAAGTATACTTCCCCAACAATCAGCCAGGAGAAGCAAAGATAATCCTTAGTGCTCTTTATGCACCAAATACTTTAATTATAAATTGGAAAAAAAACATATTTTGTCCTTGGACAATGTACTATCTATTTGCTTAATATCATAGTGTCTGTTATGCACAATTCAACATTCATTTCTACATCCATTAAGATAGGAACAGTCTGTATCCTTGAATTGCCAAGAATGTATTAGCAGAGAAACAGCACCACCTTATGGCTCTTCATTTTATGGTATTAGGAAAAAATCACACTTCTCTTAAGAATGGCCAAACATATTCATGAAGCACTCTCAAAATCATTCAAACACAGACCATACATATTTTTCCATATTGAAGAAAAACTATTCTGGTCACATCCTATTCATCACAAACATTTTTAAGTTCAGAATATAGTTATATAATCTTCCATCATTAAATCACTACTGCTGTTGCATCATTGCAAGTTACTTATAGCAAAACATAACACAAATAATTAAAATCCTTTGAAAATCTAGAAAGCAATGGTAATCATTGTACAACTGTCACGTATCAATAAAAAAGAAAACAAAGACATGCTGACATTTGCTTAAAGCTACTTACACAAGTGAAACTATGTCTCCACGTTGTACTTTGTAATTCCGAATACTCCAATGATTTAAAAGCACTATATCAGATACTTGCTGTTCCACTGGATTCAGTGAAGGCTGTGGGGATTAAAAAGGGACAGGTTTTAGCATTCACAAACAGAACAACTAAATCAACATTCTCATTAATACATATTGGATAGGGGAAAAAGTGGTTGAGAGATTTGCAAAGCATCAAGCTGGGGAAAGCTGTACACAAAATCATTAAAAGCACTGAAGTGTATCACGTGGAACATGCTATCTACTTGTAACCATGCCACTTTGCCTAAGTTGTGCATGTAAACAAGAGACTGAAAATGTAAGGAAAATGATACATGAATATTAGAACATTGTAGAATATTGTAGAATATTCTACAATAGTTGTGGATATCCAGGTTATTCACCTGATCTTTACAGTTAATATGCTGAAAAGACAGTTTTGAAGTAGCTCAGGGATAATTACCAAAGAAATACTAGAATTATAAATGCACTTCACTTATAATAAATCTAATGTCAATACTCTTTCTTAAGTGATGGCAAATAGCATTGCTTACATTTATGAAGTAAAGATATAGAACCATAGGAAATTCAATGAGATGGGGCGTTGTCTTACCTGAACGCCTTTTCTCAGCATGATGATGGAGAATCCATGAGTGGGTTGCCTTAATCCTCCTGCTCAAATTAGACTAAGTCTGGAAAGTTGCCACGCCTCCTGCTGGGCTAGAGCACCCCAGTTTACGATGAAGGTGAGGCCCAGACTATAGTCCGCTGCAAAGGCTCCTCCTATACTGGGCACAGGACCAGATGGACACTAAAGGGAGGGTGTGGATTCTCCATCATCATGCAGAGAAAAGGCGTTCAGGTAAGATAACGCCCCTTCTCCAGCATGATGGATGGAGAATCCACGAGTGGGACATACCAAAGCCCTGTTCTCCCTAAGGGGGGGGGAGTAGTTTGGGCCTGTGTCCCACTGGCTGATATCACTTGCTGTAATACCCTCCATCCATACGAGGCATTCGAGGAGGCAAATTTGTCAATTTTGTAATGTTTGATAAACGAGGAAGGCGAGGACCAAGTCGCCGCTCTGCATATCTCCCCAATAGGTGCTTGGGTCGCCCAAGCCACCAATGTAGCAGCACTGCAGGTGGAATGGGCAATGATACAACCAGGAACGGGCAATGACTATGACCGGTATGCCTGGGCAATGCAGGCCCTAATCCACCTGCCTATGGTCAAGGAGGAAACCTTCTGACCGATGGAAGTGGGTTGAAAGGAAACAAACAATGCCTCGGATTTACGGAAGGTGGAAGTCTGTTTGATATAACGTCGCAGGGCCCTGCGAGCGTCCAGAGTATGCCATCGTTTTTCTAGTTCGTGAGATGGTCTAGGGCAGAAATTAGGAAGCACCACCTCCTGGGACCTATGATACAAGGAATTAATCTTGGGGACAAAGGATCCAGACGAAGGGTCACCCTGTCTGCATGGAAAACACACAGGTCCTCTCTGACGGAGAGGGCAGCCAGCTCTGAAATTTGCATGGCTGACGTGACCACTACGAGGATAGCCACCTTCACAGACAGCAGCCTCAGCGTGCATGTTTTAATGGGTTCAAACAGTGGCGAGGTAAAGGCCTGTAAGACCCAGGGCAGATCCCAAGAGGGATAACGATGGACCACTGGTGGCTTGGCGTTAGTCGCCCCTTTTAAGAAGGAACGCACCATAGGGTGGTGTGCCAAAGGGGCAGAATTGTCACACAGGAGCACCGTGGATAAGGCCGAGACCTGTCTGCGGATGGTATTCGGTGATAACCCTTTGTCCAACCTGTCCATCAGATATTCTAGAACTATCGGGATAGTGATGTCCGAGAGTTGCACCTTGTGCCCTGAACACCAGAGACAGAAGTTCCTCCATGTGGCATCGTAAATTCTATTCGTAGAGGGGCGCCTGGATTGCTGGATCATGGCGATCACCCTCGATGAATACGAGCTACGGGTCAGGGCCTGCCGCTCAAGTGCCAAGCGGTTAGTTGGAGCCACTGAGGATCTGGATGTTGAAGGACTCCCTGGCTGACAGCAATACGACCTGGAGGATCCTCCACGGGGGGGGGGGGGTGAGACGGAAAGCTCCCCCAGGTTGGCGAACCACAGACATCTTGGCCAATGTGGGGCAATTAGAATGACCTCCGCCCGTTCGTGCAGAATCTTGCTGATTGTCGCCGGAATCAGAGGAAGGGGAGGAAAGGTGAATAACAGCTCCCTGGGCCAGGGGCTGCGGAGGGCATCTATCCCTTCTATTCTTGGGGATGGGAATCTGGAAAAAAATCTTAGAAGTTGGGAATTGGTTGGAGAGGCAAAGAGGTCTAATGTCAGACGACCAAACCTGTCCGTCATCTCCCTGAACAAGCCGGGGTCCAGGCGCCACTCAGAGTGCTCCACTGTTGACCTGCTCAAGGAGTCCGCCTGCTAATTCGCCTCTCAGGAGATGTGTTCCGCCTTGATGGAACAAAGATTGTTCTCCACCCAAGAACCCAACAACTGAGAGGCATGGACCGGGTCCCCCCTTGTCTGTTCACATGAGCTTTCGCTGCAACATTGTCAGTAAGCACCAGGACATGCTGCCTCACCACCCTGCTGCTGAAGTGGCGTAAGGCTAGATGTATGGCCCTGAGCTCTAACCAGTTTATACTGTGTTTCAAGTCTGCCTGGGACCACCAACCCTGAGCCAACTCCGACTGAAGATGTGCTCTCCAGCCGAACAGGCTGGCGTCTGTAGTCAGAGTAAGCCTGACTGGTTCCTTGAACAGGGCGCCCTTTGTCATTGCGGGGAAAGCCACCACCAAAGGGAGTTCAACAGATGGCGTGGAACTTATACCTTTTGGCTGGAAGAGCTGGTGCCCATCCTCTGAAACAGGAGCAAAAACCACTGTAGATCTCTGGAATGAAGTCGTTCCCATAGTACAATTGCTATACAGGACACCATCTTCCCCAAGAGCTGTGACAACTTTGCCAGGGTGACCACTCTCTCCCTTCGTACCCGATGAACTAGGGTCTGTATACTGTCTAGCCAGTCCTGCGACAGGTAGACCATACAAATGTTTGTGTCTATGATCGCGCCCAAATGAAGGAAGCAGGTTGATGGGACCGTCTGACTTTTCTGGAAATTTACAGAAAACCTGTGAGTCTGAAGGGTCCTGATGGTGAGGGTTAGGTCCGATTGAGCCAACTGGAAGGATGGAGACTGGATCAGAATATCGTCCAAGTAACACTGGACCCGTATCGGAATTTGTCTCAGGTAAGTAGCCAGCACTGCCAAGACCTTTGTGAATACTCAAGGGGCCGAGGAGAGACCGAATGGAAGTGCTCTGTATTAGAACACTGGCGGGCATGGCAAAATCTGAGGAACTTGCGATGTCCAGGGAGGATGGGAATATGCAAATACGCGTCCGTTAAGTTTATGGATATCAGGAAGTCTCCCTTCCTGATGCTGGCTAGGATAGACTGGAGCGTTTGCATCTTGAACTTCCTGCAAGTCAGGTAGGAATTCAGTTTTTTTAAATCCAATATTGCTCTCCAGCCGCTTGAAGACTTTGGAACTACAACAAGATTGGAATAAAAACCCCGTCCCCTCTGTTCCTCCAGAACTGGCTCTATGGTGTTTATTTGTAACAAATGGGAAATGGCCTCTGACATGACCCGCTTTGATTGCATTCTTGGGAGTAGGACAAGATTGGAAACGTTCTGGAGGGCTGGACAAGAATTCTAGGGCTAGACTGTGAGTGATGGTATTTAATACCCAGGAGTCTGTGGTGGTGGCTTCTCATACGCTGGCGAAGAGGGACAGTCTGCTACCTATGGGAGAAACGTCCCTGGAGTCACTTGGTCCTTCTAAAAGGACGCCCTCCTGAACCTCGAAAGGGCCGCTTGGCCTAGAATTGCGTTCTGGCCCTGGGTGCAGAACGGTCCTGAGGACGATCTGGTCTTGAGGAAAAGGAACGAGGGGTTTGAGGCCAGTCCCAAGTGGAAGCTGAATGAAAGGACTGTCTGCAAAAGTATTGGTGGGACCGCCTATCCGCTCTCCTATTCATGTGCATCATGACTTTGCATTTGTCCTTACCCTCTATTAAATAAGGGTTGAGGGTCTCACTGAAAAGCTGGTCTCCGCTGTAAGGAGTGGTAGCCAAACGCCACTTAGACTTCAAGTCTGCTCGCCACTGTTTGAGCCAGAGAAGCCTGTGGGTGGAGACGTCTGCAGTTATGGCTCTTGAGGAATACCTGGCGGCGTGAAGAGAAGCGTCCTCCATGTATTGTGATGTTGCCACCAACTTACCCAGGTTCTGATGTGCGCGAACCTGGTCTGGGGGAAACATATTCTGAAGTTCATGGAGCCATATGATGGAGGCCCGGGCAAAGAAGGCTAGGGATGTAGACGCCTTCACCGACCACGCCAAAGCCTGATGGGACCTGCGCAAGGCAGATTCAAATCTCCCATCCTCCGCTTTCAGAGCTTCGGCCATGTCCCCTGGAATGGTAGGATTAGAGAACAAAGAATTTAACGGTTGATCCACTGGAGGAACCTCTAGTAAAGAAGAGAAGGAAGGCGCCACATTAAAGAGCTTTTTCTCCGATACACCCGGCATGAGGAGAGCGCCCAGGTTTGCCCACTGCTTCTGGACTGTGTTGCGAAAGAAAGGCAGGCAGGGAATATGTTTCTGTGCAACCACCGGTTCAGAGTACAATGGGTTTGGGTCCTGGGAGGTAGAAGGAGCTGCCTGGGACTCTTGTTCCGGGGCGATGTTTGCTGAGGTGCACGCCTTGACAAGAAGTGAACCAGTGACTGGTCGAACAAGCCGGTGAGCAGCGATGGATCCGAAGAAGGAGCCTCTTCATTGTCTGACAGAAGTAATCCCGACGGCTCAAAGTCTTCAGAGTCTGATTCCTCGTCCTGAGAGGATCTGATTAAACAGGCTGAATGAGGAAATGCAGGGGCCTCTGTCTGAGGGAATGACCTTAGTGGAACTGAGGGTTCCTGTCAGGGCCGCTGGTAGGCAGAAGAGGTCATGAACTGGGCGAAGGCCTCAGCCA